GGCCTAGGGTAATTTTTAGAGGGGTTTTAATTATATTTTAAATTTGACAATATTTAAATATCTCTTTTAATTAATTTTAAATTTGTATTGTTATGTATGTATTTTAATTGATTGTCAGCCGCCCTGAGTCCTACGAGGAGAAGGGCGGGATATAAATCCAAATAATAAATAAATAAATAAATAAATAAATAAATAAATACCATCTTCTGGAGTCCATTTAAGCTCACGCCTACTGCTTCAGTGACTCTATCCAGCCACCTCATTCTCTGTCGTCCCCTTCTTCTATTGCCCTCCAGCTTTCCCAGCATCAGGCTCTTCTCCAGGGAGTCCTTCCTTCTCATTAGGTGGCCAAAGGACTTGAGTTTCAACTTCAGGATCTGGCCTTCTAAAGAGCAGTCGGGGTTGATCTGTTCTAGGACTGACCGGTTTGATCGCCTTGCAGTCCCGGGGACTCGCAGGAGTCTTCTCCAGCACCATAGTTCAAAGGCCTCAATTCTTTGGCGCTCAGCCTTTCTTATGGTCCAACTTTCACAGCCATACATTGCAACTGGGAAAACCATGGCCTTGACTATACGCACTTTACACTGGGTATCTAAAATGCTGCAAAAAGCAACATTGGAAGGCTGTAGCTTTTTCCAGCTGTGACTCTCCAGGCAGGCCTGGAGCTGGTAGACTTCATCTGAATATGGAGGTTCCCTTTAGCTGTTGTCACTAACAGTCCTGGGTAGAGCTTCTCCTACGAATGAAGGCAAATATAGGTATACCAGGATGATGTTGCAGGATCCAATCTGGGTTGATCATTGGGACTAGAGGTTTTGTCTTCCAAATTTCTCCTCCTCCCTAATTTTGAATTAAAGCCATCTAAAGTAGTGATGGTTACCGCATCCTGACAGACAAGAGTTTTTTCTCTTTGCAAAGCTTAACTTTACAGTTCTGGGCTTGTCAATTTTTTTTATACCATTGGCTGTGGCTTCTCTGATCACTCTCTTTTTGATAAGGGTTTGGCTTGGCTACCTCTGATTCGGCCTCTCCTGGGCAGCCTTCTTGGGTGCAGCTGACAAAGGTGAATAATTCTGCATTTTAAAAATAAGGAAGATCAAAAAGCTGATAGTGTCGCAGGAGGGAAAACGGTACCCAAAAGAGAGAGAGAGAAAAAAGCACATGATTGCTTTTGGCCCAAACTCTGTGAATTAAAAACAAAAACAAAACAAAAAACAGGAAAGCAGTTGTAAGCAAGAATTTGATCAATTCTTTGGCGCTCAGCCTTTCTTATGGTCCAACTTTCACAGCCATACATTGCAACTGGGAAAACCATGGCCTTGACTATCACTGAAAAAAGGGGCACATGACCATTTTTCACACTTATGACCGTGGTCACATGATCAACATTCGGATGCTTGGCAACTGGCATGTATTTATGACGGTTGCAGTGTCCTGGGTTTATGTGATCCCATTCTGCGACCTCCTGGCAAGCAAAATCAAAGGGGAAGCCAGATTCATTTAACAACCGTGTTACTAACTTAACAACTGCCGTGATTCGCTTAACAACTATGGCAAGAAAGGTCGTAAAATGGGGCAAAGCTCTCTTTGCAACTGTCTTGCTTAGCAACAGAAATTTTGGGCTCAGTTGGGGTCGTACGTCGAGGACTACCTGTATCCACAGGTGTAATTGCTCAGGTGGGAGCCAATGGAAGCCCCCAGTTGTAAGTGAAGAGTTGGAAGATCAGCGATCACCTGGTCCCACTGATCTTGTTCTCTCTTTTAGCCCATCGCTGAGTGGTCTCACTTACCCCCCAAGGATGCTGCTAAGATGCCTGAAAGTGCCTGGAAACTGTCTTTCTATTGCATCTCCTGGTTATATGGCACTTACTTGCTGTTCTTTGCTGGATACCCCTTTTTCCATGATCCACCTTCGGTTTTTTATGGTATGGTAAGCATTGTGACCATATTGGGGGGTGGGAAAGCTTTTATTTAGCGCAGGGATGTCCAACCTTGCCAAATTTAAGACTTGTGGACTTCAACTCCCAGAATTCCCCAGCCAGCATGGCTGGCTGGGGAATTCTGGGACTTGAAGTCCACAAGTCTTAAAAGTTCCAAGGTTGGACATCCTTGATTTAGGGAATGTGACGTTGGGTCATTTACATTTGGTAAATGAGCCTAGTGCTGCCTCCCCACATAACGTAACCGAGGAATCTGGAAGGATAGCTTCAAAAACCTTTATTTGTTTCACCTGACATGCTTCCAGGCTTCGTTGGGGGACAGAGAGCATCCCATTCAGGAGAATTCTTTCATTTTAGACGCTTTGCTGCGAGATTTTGAAGCAGAAACAAAATTGTTAAAAAAAAAAAAAGTTTGCAATTTAGTCTTTGGGGATCGAACATTTTTAAAAGTGAAGTTTGTGCCTGGGCAGGGTGTTTGATTTCTTTAAAAATCAACAGCCTCTTTTTAACTGTAAACTGCTAAAGATTTTCAGAGATACAAATTAGATAAATATTTTACAAAGGCATTTTTTTTTTAAAGTTGGCAATGGGTTAATAGTAAGGGTTTTTACACGAGTCGCCTTCTAGAAATGTTAGGTTTCCAGTGAGATGAGGCTGCTTAGTTGAGGGATGGGATGGGATTTGTAGTACAGATTAGAAGTGGCCTGTTAGTCTGAAAGGAATGAAACCAAATGTCCTTCGTTCAGGAAAACTCTTATTTATTTAATGTAGTAGTTTGATAAACGAATTAATAAAATTGACATTTCTGAAGCTATCTCAATACCCGTGCTGTATGTTTGATGCTGTAATAAATTTGTGGACATCAATTTTAAAAGCTGATACCTCCTTAGACGTATCACTACAAGTTTCTTTGCATAATGAATTACAATAACTATTTATTATAACAGTTATTATAAAAGCTTTGCCTGAAATTATAAAAAAGAAATCTAACACATTTCCAAGGTGAATAAGGGATCTGTTGTTGTCTTAAATAGTTTTTTTTCTTTAAAAAAAAGCTGCGGGTTTATGTTTTCGGACAGTGAACATCATCAATTGATTTTTTTTTCCTCCCCAGAATCCAAAATATGACTGAATTCCTGTAATTTTCATCTCTCCTGTCACTAGATCTTAATTGCAGACCTCTTGATCACAATGCTGGACTTAGCTTTTATGCATTTGCTGGTCTGATAAGCTCAAAAGCTTCTACCGGTAGTCCTTGACTTACGACCGTAATGGAGCCTGATTCGTCACAGTTGTAAAACGGGTCAATCAGGGGACTGTGATTGATTTGATTTTGCTATCTTTTTTGCCGTGGTCATTAAACAGATGTGGTCATTAAGTAACCCACGTTGTTCGCTATTGGCAACGGTTTTGCCGAAAATCAAAAGCAAGTGCTTGTTTTTAGCAAAACCAAAGTGTGGTCATCTGACTTCAGTGAGGGACAACAATTAGAACTTCAAATCCAGGTCGTAAGTAGCCGTCCTAACTTCGAATGGCCACTGAACAAATTGGTTGTAAGTCGAGGACTATCTGTACCTACATTTGCAAACTATTTGTTTGGTCCTGATCAAAGCAATTGTCTGACAGGAGACTTTGCTGTCTAGTGACGGCCTGTAGGACCTGCTCACTCCTATCGGGCCAGCTCAGTTCCTTGGTCTGTTGTGTAATTCTGAGCCTTTTGGATGCTGCCGTTGTGTGGAGCTCACCTTTTCTTCTTTTTCTGCCCGGTGTTCCAGATTGGGAAAGGGGAATGGAGGTGCCCTTGGATATTGGACTCACCTACCTGATACAAGGCAGTTTTTATGCCCATTCTATATATGCCACCCTTTACATGGATGCCTGGCGCAAGGATTCAGTCGTCATGCTCATCCACCACGTGGTCACCCTGACCCTCATCGTGTTCTCCTATATCTTCAGGTAATTCGTCCGGGCGCATCCATTGGCTGCTCTGCTGTCAGCTGACTGTCTTCATTGGCTGAGCTTCGGTGATGTCACAGGATGTTCACAGTACAGGTGGTCCTCGACTTACAACCACAATTGAGCCCCAAATTTTCCAAAACATGAGCCAGTTGCTAAATGTCTAGATGTTGATCATGTGATCATGGGGAAGCTGCAACCGTCATAAATGTGAAAAAAAATGGTCATAGGTCCGGTTTTTCCCCCAGTACTGCTGTAACTTTGAATGATCAGTAAACAAATGGTTGTAAGTCGAGGACTATGTGTACAGGGGAGTTATTCCAGTCTCCCCTCTATTCAAATAAGTTTGTAGCTCAGAGGAGAGCAAGACAATTGATTGCCCACGTGTGACTGCACCAGGGACATAAGGCATTCCCTCATTTTGTAACCAGGACAGACTATAGATAGTCCTCAACTTATAACCTTAACTGAGCCCAGAATTACAGTCATAAGGCATGCTTGTCATTAAGCAGGTTACCACACAGTGTTTTTAATTTCGTGACCTTAACGTTGTGTGGTCGTTACGCAAACGTCACGGTCGTTAAGCAAACTCATTGTACTCAATGGGCGTTTTTTGCAGGAAACTAAAAGTCAACCCAATCAGTTGTAAGTCGAGGACTACCTGTATTCTAATGCAAAACTCCCATTTGCTGATGCCAGTTCTAGCATGACCAACACTGCAACTATTGTATTGTTCTATTTAAAGCCTGTCAAATAAGATGCGCTGACATGATTTTTATCTGGATCGTTGGAGGAAGAAAAAAGAATGACGGGCCTCTCGCATCCGGGGCCTGCTGAATTGAAATGCTTGGACCTTTTGCGTGGATAATAATGACACTTTTCTCTTGCTCACAGATACCACAACATTGGGATTCTTGTACTCTTTCTTCATGACTTTAGTGACATCCAGCTGGAGTTTACCAAACTCAATGTTTACTTCAAGTACCGGGGTGGCGTTTACCACCGTTTAAACGACACCATTTCTAATGCCGGCTGTGTCTCCTTCAGCCTTAGTTGGTGAGTCTGGTTCTATCAGCCCTCATTTCAGGGCTGGTCCTCAGATCTACAGGGACCCAGCCTGGAAATGGAGTGGAATATGAGGAATTATCGCAGGTAGTCCTTGATTTACAACCACAATTGAACCCCAATTTTCTGTTGCTAGGCAAGAGAGTCATTAAGTGAGTTTTGTCCCATTTTACCTCCTTTCTTGCCACAGTTGTTAAGTGAATCACTCCCAGAATTCCTGAGCCAACATGGCTCAGCATGGAAACCTCTCCATTTCTCCTCAGCATGGCTTGCTCAGGAATTCTGGGAGTTGAAGTCCACGGGTCATAAAAGAGCCAAGGTTACCTACCCCTGTACCAGGGGGATGTTGCAATGGTTGTAAGCGTGAAAAACAGTCATAAGTCATTTTTTTCAGTTCTATTGTAACTTTGAACGGTCACTAAATGAATGGTTGTAAGTCAAGGACTACCTGTATTTGGCTGTTGACTCTTCTGTGGAACATCGTGGCCCCATCTTCTGCCCCTTTTTAAGATAGACTGCTCTTAAGGAAAAAGCTTTCTGGTAGCTGCAACTGTCAACCAGTCTTAATTCCCTCAAAGCCCAAACCTGCCTGTGAATGTTTGGGAAGAAGAATATAACAGAAAGCCACAGAAGTGACAATGCAAAAACGGTTGCTGAAACAAGAACATTAATTAAGCCAAGTAAACAGAGATCACCACAGATGGGGACTGTAGCCAAGAAATTAAAAGATGCTTGCTCCTGGGGAGGAAAGCTATGGCAAATTAGACAGCATACTAAAAAGCAGAGACATCACCCTGCCAACAAAAGTGCATATAGTCAAGGCCATGGTTTTCCCAGTTGCAATGTATGGCTGTGAAAGTTGGACCATAAGAAAGGCTGAGCGCCAAAGAATTGAGGCCTTTGAACTCTGGTGCTGGAGAAGACTCCTGCGAGTCCCCTGGACTGCAAGGCGATCAAACCGGTCAGTCCTAGAGGAGATCAATCCCGACTGCTCTTTAGAAGGCCAGATCCTGAAGTTGAAACTCAAGTACTTTGGCCACCTAATGAGAAGGAAGGACTCATTGGAGAAGAGCCTCTTGCTGGGAAAGATTGAGGGCAATAGAAGAAGGGGACGACAGAGAATGAGGTGGCTGGATGAAGTCACTGAAGCAGTAGATGTGAGCTTAAATGGACTCCAGAAGATGATAGAGGACAGGAAGGCCTGGAGGAACATTGTCCATGGGGTTGCGATGGGTCGGACACGGCTTCACAACTAACAGCAACAAAGAGAGAACGCATGAGAAGGAAGCTCAGAATGGCCTCACCCTAATTTACTGGGGTATACAGTGAGGAGGGGATGCGATGGCTTTACGGTTAAGACAGTGGGCTTGTGGGTTGGAAAGTCAACAGCCCAGGTTAAAACATCCGCATGCCATTCAACAGGGTGAGCACCCATTCTGGTCCCAGCTCCTGCCGATCGAACAGTTCGAAAGCATGCAAACGCGAGTAGATAAATAGGTACCACTTCGGTGAAAAGTTAACAGTATTCAGTGCGCTTCAGTATATAGCCATGCTGGCCACATAACTACAGAAGCATTTTCGGACAATGCTGGCTCTCTTGGCTAAGAAACAGAATGAGCACCGCCCCTTAGGATTGGACACGACTGAACAAGGGAAATTGTTACCTTTACCTTTATAGCAAGGAGATAAAGGAAAATAGGCTTTTATAATTGATGTCAGCCCTTCGAGGTAGGTCAGGTAAGCAAATCTTGACTCCAAAAGTTCAGCTTGTTGGCCGCTTGGATCAAGCTACGACCCCTCTCAATAAATACTAACCAGAGAAAAACCTAGACCCTGTTCCAAAATTAAAACATCTTATCGTTTAAACCAGGGGTGTCCAACTTGGCAACTTGAAGACTTGTGGAAATTCAACTCCCAGAATTTCCCTAGCCAGCATGACTGGCTAGGAATTTCTGGGACTTGATGTCCACAAGTCTTCAAGTTGCTCAGGTTTGGACACTCCTGGTTTAAATCTCTGCCTGAATGTTACAGCTTTCTTCTTAAATTTGGCAAACCATCATATGCAGTGTAGGTTTGATCCACCTCTTGCCTTTTAACTGAATAAAACCCGGACTCCTATCACCTTGGCAGGCTTTTATCTGCAAGATTGCTTATTTTAATTAGCAACTGATCATCCCAGGCATGTGTGCAGAGACGTCCCCGTCCTGGTCTAAATTTGCTTCTGCTACTTTGCTGTCCTTTTCCAGGTTCTGGTTCCGTTTGTACTGGTTCCCCTTGAAGGTGCTTTATGTGACCTGCCACACCAGCCTCCAGTCTGTCCCCAATATCCCATTTTACTTCTTCTTCAATGGGCTGCTGTTTATCCTCACGCTGATGAATGTCTATTGGTTCCTGGTAAGTAAAGGGCTCCTGTCAGTGGCTGGTCCAGCATTTACCAGCTCTGCTCCAAGCAACGTGAAGCACGGGTAGTCCCTGACTTATTACCATTCATTTAATGGCCATTCAAAGTTACAACGGCACTAAAAAAAGTGACTTACGACCAGTTCTCATACGTATGACTATTGCAGCATCCCCACAGTTATGCGATCAAACTTTGGCTGCTTGGCAACCGGCATGTATTTACGATGGTTGCAGCATTCCAGGATGCTGGGTATAATAATAGTAGTAGTAGTAGTAGTAGTAGTAGTAGTAGTAGTAGTAGTAGTAATGTGATGGTGATGGTGATGATGTTGGAAGGAACCTTGGAGGTCATCTACTCCAACCCCCTGCTCAGGCAGAAAAGCCTATACCATTTCAGACAAATGGCTGTCCAGTCTCTTTTTAAAAACTTCCAGTGTTGGAGCATTCACCGCTTCTGGAGGCAGGTTGTTCCACTGGTTAATTTTTTTAACTGTCAGGAAGTTTCTCCTTAGTTCTAGGTTGCTTCTCTCCTTGATTAGGAGCCAGTTGTTCCAGCACTTTGGGGCCACTAATGAGAATATCTGCTATAAAGTCTATATTCATTTACCCCTCTTGGGGCCTAGATCCTACACCTCCGCTGAACTCCAGTAATAATAAAAAATATTTATTAACTTGTATGCTATTCAACTCTCAACGATTCAAGGTAGCTCACAGAAGTGAACCAAGAAATTACAATAAAATTAACAAGAAATAGATAAAGTTTCCCTCGCTCCTCTACAGCCTGGGTGAAGAACTTATGGCTTTTTGGCTGTTCTAAATGACACAGTGGGGGCCCTCAGATTTTGGTGGGAAACTTTTTCCACAGGCACTGCCACAGAGAAGGCGTGCTTCCAAGGTCCTGAGAGAGAGCCTGTGTGTGCGCATAGTATAGTCCTGTTAAATATAATTGTGCTCTTCATGGGCCTTTTACAAGTAGTCCTTGACCTACAACCACAATTGAGCCCGTTTCTGTTAAGTGAGTTTTGCCCCATTTTACGACCTTCCTCGCCACAGTTGTTAAGTGAATCACTTAACAACTTGTTAATAACCTGGTTGTTAAGTGCATCTGGCTTCCCCTTTGACTTTGCTTGTCAGAAGGTCTCAAAAGGGGATCACATAATCCCAGGATACTGCAACCATCATAAATATGAAGCCGTTGCCAAACATCCAAATTTTGTTCATGGGGATGTTGTAGCGGTCATCAGTGTGAAAAAAAATGGTCCTAAGTCACTTTTTTTCAGTGCCGTTGTAACTTTGAATAGTCACTAAAAGAATTGTAAGTTGAGGACTACCTGTAGTATATACTGTTTTTACTGCATCGATCAGTTGTTTTAAATTCACATGGTTTTGCATGGAACTACTGGTCCCAGAGAAAGAAACCTGAGATGTGTCTGGCCTTTGATCCAGTTTTCTCTGGCAGCAGACTGATTCTAAATATCCAGATCACACATTATCCTCGCGTCAGGAAATTAGCTAGGCTAAGAGAGAATCTTAAATCTCTCCGTACCATTGAATGTAGATCTGAATCTGGGAGTGGATATCCCCATATGCTAAGTGTCAACGCTGCTAACATCGGATGTTCTTGCTTTGACAACATCTGGAGATGTAGCCACTTTCCTTTACTTTATGTTTTACTCTTAAGAGTTAGAATTAGGTGATACTAGGGGGGGGGGAGCAGGAGGAATGTGCATGGGAGTTTAGTTAGACATAACAATACTGTATAAGGGTGAGAACCAAGGTTTTTTGAAATAAGAGATAATAAGAAATGGCGCGTTGAAGAACTGGAGGGAAAGCCGGCATTTCAAACTAATTGGAGAATGTGATTTATGACTATTAATTAGAGCAGGGCTTTTCAACCAGTGGTACGGGTACCACCTGTGGTACATTGGCACCTGGCAGGTGGTACGCGACCATCCTAGAAAAGTGGTAGTGGGGGAGGGGAATGAGCTGAACCGGTGGCAGCACCAGACAAGTCTGAGCGAGAGACGGCTGGAGCTGCAGGGCTGTCAGGGCTCAGCGGAAGCGCCAGGATCAGTGCTTCTTCGGGGCTGTCAGGGCTCAGTGGAAGAGCCAGGATCAACACCAGGCTTCAGCTGGAGCTTGGCGCTGATCCTGGTGCTTCTGCTGAGCCCAGAAGAAGCGCCAATCAGCTGGAATGTTGCAGCATCTCCGGGGTCTTATGATTTACATTCAGATGCTTGGCAACTGATTCATATTTATGACGGTCACAGTGCCCCAGGGTCATGTGAAGTGACCAAAACCTGCTGCAACCACCCAGCAGAGGGGGGAAATAAAAACCAAACACACCCCCACCCCATCCGCACTGCCAATCCTCAACAGAAATGCTCAAAACAATGAAAACCTCGGACAGGAGGAAGAGCACCGCCGGGTGGGCAGGCAGGTGTCTTGCTCGGCTGTGGCTTGGGGGGCACTTTTTTCAGTGCCATAGTAACTTCGAACAGTCACTAAGTGAACTGTTGTAAGTCGAGGACTACCTGTACTTTATCACTTTTTTCCTTTTTTTGGTCATCCAAGTTTTTGACACCTTGCTAGGCGACTGGTGGTACTCGGATGTTGCCATATCCTAAAAGTGGTACAATGGGTGAAAGGGTTGAAAAGCCCTGAATTATTAGAGGAGGGAATTGTGCTTTGATACTATGTGCTCAGGGGAGGGGAATTCAGATTTTGGCTTCGGCTATGTGCGTGCCGATGCTATGCTACTTGAATAAAGATTCTTTAAGGTAAACAATGCCTCAAAGTTCTTTGAAGATCAACACTAAGTTGATCCGGCAGGCTGATGAAGCAAGTAAGAGGCCAAAAAGCCTGATGGGAAAATCTGTGATCCAGCAAGCTGATTGGTTCTCCCCTTCTCCTCTCGGCAGTACATCGTTGTTTTTGTGGCCAAGATTTTGCTGGGACAAGTGCAGGAGGTGAAGGATGTACGGGAATATGACGCTGATGCTGCCTCTAAGAAGACGGGCAGAGAGCTTCATCTCCACAACTCTTGGAAGGAAGGGTAAGGATGTCTAGAAGCGATGGGTTTCTGTTCTTTCCCTCAGTTTCCTCCTTCTAACAACAGCCGGTCAGTTGCTTCTGAGTGGCATACAAAAACAGCTAAGTTACAACGTGAATCCTGTCCTTAATATCAGGAATGCCAGTACTTTTCCAGTTCCTCCAAATAATTCCCTTAGCAACACCCCAGGTCCAATACAACTAAAAGTTCTCCAAAATAGATGGCAAATACGGTTCTTTCTGCACAGAAAGAAGAAATAGAGAGGAATAGTGAATCTATAGCCCAGTGATGGCGAACCTTTTAGAGACCGAGTGCCAAAACTGCAACCCAAAACCCACTTATTTATCACCGGGTGCCAGGTGGGCGTGGCCCACTGGGTAGGTGTGGCTGTGGCCATGACACACTGGGTGGGTGTGGCCAAAGTGGGCGTGGTCACCTCAATGTTGCTTGTGGGGAGGGGGGCGCCTGTGGGGGCCGGGCAGGGTTGGGGGAGATCCAGGGGGTCTCTGGCAGGTGGGGCGGTGGGCAGGAGGCTCGTCCTGCGGAGTGAGGGGAGGCAAGGTGAGGCAGGGCAGGGGTGCTATTGCTGCAGGGCAAGGTGAGGCAGGGGCCGGGGCGGCTTCTGCCTGACACCTTTGGCCCCCGCACACAGAGGCCAGTGAGCACATGGGGGCCAACAGTGTCTGTCAGCAGCCACAGCCTGCCAGCCCCTCAACCGACGCACTCTGGGGCTCCACAGCCCGCCGTCAGCAGTTCAGAGAAGCCACCTCTGAGCTGGCCGGCCAGCCGACAGTTGAGGAAGCAGTGCAGTGGGTCGTGCCCTGGAAAAGGAGAGCATGCGAGGCCAGGAGGGATGGGATGGGGGAAGGAAACCAGCCGTGCTGGGATGCATCTGGCCATGTGGAACCTCGCCAAGTTAGCGGGCGGCTGGTTGAAGAGGGACAGTTGCCATCTCCGGGGCATGGCGTGCGTGCCCACAGAGAGGGCTCTGCCACCTCTGGCACGCGTGCCATAGGTTCGCCACCACTGCTATAGACTGATCAAAGTCCATAAAAGCATCCCTTCCGTTGCAAATTATGGAATCTAGCTCTGCCCAGATCCGATTACCCTCCAATACTTGAGATCTCCCTTTTTTTTTTTCTGGAATAGTGTTGTTCAACCTCTGTAACTTTAAGGCTGACTGGGGAATTCTGGGAGTTGAAGTCCACATAGCTTTGAAGTTCTGAGGCTGAGAAACACTGACTTAAGAGTAATGGACTTACAACCTTATTTCATGCTTTTAACTCCTGGAGGGGAGGACCAAGAATAGAATTAGTTTCAAGTACCCTTCGTCTTTCTCTTTCTCAGGCAGGCACTTAATAGGAAACAGCCTGCGAAGTTTTTTTACTGACAGAGCTGCTGCAAATAATGGAGCAGGTTAAGAAGAAAATGCTGTCCGCATCTCTTATTCAAAAAGTAATTTAAAAAAAAACCAGTAAAATTTAATAGTACCATGCACAACCTCAAAATTAAAAACCAGTGATTCTTTTTCACTCTGCAGTAAATAAAAGCAGCTGGGAGAAAACAGTCATTGGGTCTTATAGGTTAAGCAGGAAAGCCTAAAATAATGTGGCCAGAAATCTCTGTGAGTGACCTAGCAAAAGACAGACTTGCAGAATGGAATGGAGAATTTGGCAACAGAGAGGATTAAGCACATGTAGGAGAAATGCCAAATGGTGGAAATCCTGTAACTCGGGGCCAAAGACTCAGCCCTCTTACGCTTTTCCTGAATGCCAGAATGACGTACATCGACAGCTATCTCAGGATTGATCCAAATATACCGCACAGGCCTTGGATTGTGGCCTTATGCATTTCAGACATGGACCTCAGACACTTAGTTATGAATTATGAACTGCCCCTTCTGTTCCATTCATGTTACTAGTGCCCTTCCTTAACTCTCCATCTGCTGCCTGCGAGAGGTTCTGCATCCAAAGGGCCCCATATCATGGGACCAGAATAACAATAACAGAGTTGGAAGGGACCCTGGAGGTCTTCTAGTCCAACCCCCTACTCAAGCAGGAGACCCTATTCCATTTCAGACAGACGGCTCTCCATTCTCTTCTTAAAAGCCTCCAGTGATGGAGCAGCCACAACTTCTGAAGGCAAGCTGTTGCACCTGGTTAATTGTTCTCTCTGCCAGGAAACTTCTCCTTAGTTCTTGATTGGTCCTCTCTAGGTTGGTGCTTAGTTCTAGGTTGGTACCCATTTGATGGATGTTGCAGTGTATCAACAACAAACCAATTGCTTTTTCTATTAGCGCTGGTTCCTAGATTAATAAATCTTCCACTATTAAACATATTATAAATTGGCTGCACTTCATCCACCCATTCTGACCAATTGTAAGAAATGAATATATATCTTCATTTAAAAAAATACTCAATTATATACTTATATTTATGGATACACACGTACAGCTGTGATATATAGGTAGCCCTCGACTCAAGACCACAAATGAACCCAACATTTCCATTGCTAAGCAAGAGCGTTGTTCATCGAGTTTTCCCCTATTTTACAACCTTTCTTGCCACAGTTGTAAAGTGAATTACTGCAGTTGTTAAGTCAGTAACACAGTTGTTTAGTGAATCTGGCTTCCCCATTGATTTTGCTTGTCAGAAGGTTGCAAAAGGGGATCATATGACCCTGGGACCCTACAGTCATCATAATGCCGAGTTGCCAAGCATCTGAATTTTGATCTTGTGACCATGGGGATGCTGCAACAGTTGTGAGTGTGAAAAACAGTCATAAGTCACTTTTTAGTGCTGTTCTAATTTCCAGCGGTCACTAAATGAATGGATGTAAGTTGAGGATTACTTGTGGAGATGAGTGGGGAAGGGGTGTCCATTATTCATAATTATTAAGTGCCGTCTGCAAGGAAATTGAAAACGATGTGCTGTGTGGCATCAGCAATCCATGAGTTCAAGGTTTCATTACAATTTAAAATGTATTTCTTTAAAACCATCTTATTACCAGGCTTCAATTAAATAAACGCCTTTCTAAATATTGAGGCTGAGGTGGTAGAAGGGGGGGCATTTTTAAATATTTGCCAAATACTTATTTCATTTAGTAATTAAATCTCAGATTTAATAAAGCCTATTTTAGTTTCTGTCCTGGGCCTGAAGCACGTTTGGGGAATAAAGTCCCTACAGATAGTCCTCACTTAACAATCACTTCTTCAATGGCTGTTCAAACTTAACAGTGGCACTGAATGAGTGGTACTTACTATCTGGCTGGGCAACAAAAAATTAGCTACCGGTTCTGCCGAAGTGGTGCAAACCGGCTGAATATAAAGAACGGCTGCTGGAATTGGGGATGTCTAGTTTAATGAAGAGAAGGACAAGGGGGGACATGATAGCAGTGTTCCAGTATCTCAGGGGCTGCCCCAAAGAAGAGGGAGTCAAGCTATTCTCCAAAGCGCCTGAAGGCAGGACAAGAAGCAACGGAAGGAAACTAATCAAGGAGAGAAGCAACCTAGAACTAAGGAGAAACTTCCTGACAGTTAAAACAATTAACCAGTGGAACAACCTGCTTCCAGAAGCGGTGAATGCTCCAACACTGGAAGTTTTTAAGAAGAGACTGGACAGCCATTTGTCTGAAATGGTATAGGGTTTCCTGCCTGAGCAGGGGGTTGGACTAGATGACCTCCAAGGTCCCTTCCGACTTTATTATTTATTTATTTATTTATTTATTTGCATAGCCACGCCCAAAGCCCAACAGAATAGTAAAAACGGGGTTTTTTTCCCACTAGTTGTCCTTTGTTTCTCCTCCGCAGAAACCATGTGATGAATGGCGTTGTGAAAGACAAGCGGTTGTAGAGGCACTCGCGGGACCACACTTGCGCAGAGCCGAACTCTGGAGAAACCCGCCAGGACCCCTTCATTCAAACTCCAGCCTGCTCAGGGGTGAACCGAAGAACCACAGAGCTTGCCACCCTTTCCCGCCCAGAGTTGACAACTAAGCGCTAATTGGGGAGCGATTTACACATTTTCTTTTTGAAGCCCCCTGGAGTTGGAGTTCAAGCTGAATTTCCATTAACAGTGATGGAGCTGGAAGTAGGAGGAGGCCCATGATTGGCCCGGTCAGGTTGGAGCAGAGCATTCACACACAAGAGTAGCTGCTTCCCCCTTCTGGTGCCTCAGTGGCGCCTAGTAGTGTGAAAAGTTCCCACCAAGGTGGAGGGGATGAGGAACTGGCATAGTTCTCTGTGGCTTCTGCCCAGCAGGGCCTTCTCTGTGGTGCCCCCAAGAAGGCAGAACTGTTTCCCCCCCCATGGGTTTAGGATTCCTGATTGGTTAGGAGGAAATAAGGCGGGGGGGAAATCTCTTCAGAATGTCCAGCTGGCAAAAGCAATGGTAGAAAGAGTGAAAAGCACATGTGCGAATCGATGAATTTTCAGCCTTGCAAATAGGGGTTGAAAAGGAGTATCCCACAATGCCCTGCGGCACTTTCATCCCTTTTCTAAACCATGTTTGTTTGTTTTTGCCCTGCCCTTGGTTCCAGTTGGGAGAGGAAAATGACAGTGATGGTGTTTTGTCTAACCTGTGTATTGGATAGGTTGTATATAAAATAAGGCTTGGATTCACAAGATGGTGGTGTTTTCTGAATTGTGTCTGAAAAGAGTTTTTTTAAAAAATATAGAAATATTTATAGTTACACGATGGGTGATGCACCAGTCTATTTTCAGTTTTGCCCATCCTTCCATTGGACAACCCCTGATTCCCAGAATCTCCTCTATCACTACCGTTCATTTCAGGCAGGGTCGTTCCTCCCTGTCAGAGGCAGTCTATCTGTCAAAATTGAGACATAACTTGGAATGTGAGAGAACAGGAAACTGCAAGCAGACAGAGCTGGTACCTCCTGGGTGATTTTTCCCTGGTGCCGTTTAAAATGTTGGGTTGGGTTGTATTTTTTATCATGCTGGCTGAGGAATTCTGGGAGTTGACGTCCACACATTTTAAACTTGCCAAGATGGAGAAACAGGGAAAAATGTGTGCTGGTGATGAAGACATATGTCACAAAACTCAGGGTGGCTATAATCATGTGATTGAAGTTCTACCACCACCGCCCTTTTTTTTTTTTATCCAAACCACTAGCTGTACCCGGCCACGCGTTGCTGTGGCTCAGTCTCATTGCGCCATTGTGCATTCATCCCAAACAATAAGTTTGCATTTCTGCAATACTTTTCTCATGTCAAGATGCTTTGGAAATGTTGCACGTGGGAGTTTCAATGAATTGCATGTTCAATGGCAATTTCAAAGCGTCCAACAGATGGCACTGTTTTTCAAAAAAGCACGTTTTTACCTGTCACAAGTGTGACATCTATATAATATAGGTATATAAAAACATGCACGTATTCAAATGCAACGTTGTGTCAAAATTTCAAAGCAATCGGTGAAGAACTTTCGGAGATTTAAGATTTTGAACAAACGAACATTTACATTTTTATTTATATAGACAATATAACAGGTTTTAATTGCATGATTGTGGACACTTGTAATTTTTAGCACTTTTCTCCCTGGACATCCCAGTCTTAGATAGAATCTACTTTTTTATAATGAGCTACTATATCCGGAAGGTTTAGAGCCGTGTTTCTCAAACTTAGCAACTTTAAGATGTGTGGACTTCAACTCCCAGAATTCCACAGCCAGCCATGCTGGCTGTGGAATTCTGGGAGTTGAAGTCCAGACATCTTAAAAGTTGTCAAGGTTGAGAAATATTGTTTGGAGCGTGCTGTGGCTGCTCTCACAAAGGGAATGGGACAACTTGCCATTGTCAACTCACTGCGGGACAACTCAACTGCGGAACAATTTAACAATGCTATTCAATTATTTAAAATAAAATAAAATAATTTAATTTTTGCTATTCCCATTTCATTCTGTCCCTCCTTTTGCATCCTTTAATGATTCTGTTCCACCATTTCTTCGTTATTAGTGTAACTTTTGTCCTGCAGCGAGTTGGCCGTGGTGAATTGTCATAGACCCCCTCACAAAATGGCTTTGCCCATTCATTAAAAAAAAGCTGCCGAGGTTTGCCTTTCTCATCCCACCCATTTTCTAGAAGGCAAACTAGTGAGGCTGACCCTTGCCACCCTCTTGTGGCTGCTCCTGCAGGGACATTTTCAGACAGGACTGCAACCACTGCCCTACCCCATTTTACGTTTCAAGAAGGTCCATAGGGAATTCTTGGAAATAAAGTATATGCCGGGGACTGATAGTCTGTGTTCCTTTTTTTTTTACTTTTTCGTAAATTACATATACCATTTATATATAACAGGTATATATAATTTACCTGCAGACATACAGATAGTCCTTGATTTACAACCAGTCGGTTAGCAACCATCGAAGTTACAATGCAACACCCCTCCCCCAAAGTGACTTAAAAGCTGGTCCCAATGTTAACAGCCACTGCAGCACTCACACAGTTGTTTTCTCTTACAACTGCCCCTAGGGATGCTACACAACACCCTCCTGCCTACCGGTAATTTCCCCCCCATCAGATCTCTATAGGCCTTGGGCCTGCTTCCCATCCTACTGGGCCCCACATCCTTTTCCTTGCTTAACTTTCAAAGAGCTTCGGAGCTGGGGTTAAGGAAGGAGGACAGGCCGCTCCGTTGCTGGGCTTTATGACGTGATCCTGAAAGCGACTGCCATTTTTGAGGCAGCTCCATTGAAATGGGTGTGGGGCCTAGTGGCATGAGAAGCAGGCCCAGGGCCTGTGATGACCGCCAAAGGGAAGGATCAAGGGAAGCGGAGCATGGGGGTTCTTTGGGGTGGAGGAAATCCAGAGCAAGGCCTGCACTAGGCCTCCCCGGGGTACCCCATACTCCACTTAATGACCTACACATTCATTTAATGACCTCATCAGGGAGAGTAGAGACGGAAGGATCGTAATTGAGGTGATTACACGGATGCTTCAGTTAACAGTCATGACTTCCAATTGTAATGGTCAGGCTCCATTATGGTCATAAGTCGAGGACTACCGATACACAACAGGGGCTATGATCCACATTTAATGCAAAGCCAGGTAGGAAGGGGAGATAAAAAGTGGGCACAGCAAGGCCAACCATTAACTTTGCTTCCATGGAATATACATGCAGTTAAAATGAATCAAGTATAATTCAGTATGATTTAAGAAAGGGAAAGATTCTAAGATCATGCTTGCCAAAATAAGCATTAGAAATTTTTTTGGTAGCAGTACAGAAATGATTTACCATTGCTTTTCTGGTTTTTTTCCTCAAACAGCTAAGTTTTAACCTATATCGGGTAGGCAACCTTGGTTCTTTTATGACTCGTGGACTTCAACTCCCAGAATTCCTGAGCCAGCCATGCTGGCTCAGGAATTCTGGTAGTTGAAGTCCGTGAGTCATAAAAGCCAAGGTTGCCTACCCCTGACCTGAATAGTTATATATTTTTTTTTTGCAACCAATGAAATTGCTGCCATCTGCTGTGATTTAAGCCATACTTATTTAGAATTTCCCCTTTCACACCAGAATGCTCTTGTCAGCATTAAGGCATTGAGTTGTGCTTAAAGATGGAACATTTGTTTACCCACAGCTATGGAATTTCTCCCAGGGGCCAGTCTTTCTCCCAGTTTCTCCCCATTACAGGACTGCTAAGAGGTTAAAACAGTAGAATGTTAGCGTTAACACTTGGAAAAGTGATGGGGGGAAAATCAATAAAATTTTGGAATGTTTCCAAAGGTTATAACAACTGCAATATGATACAGCCAAAGCTGCATCTCTGCACTCATCACAGGCAATATTTGTAAGTGATACTATTATTCAATTCACATACTATACCAAATTTGTTTTTTCCAAAAGGCAACTGGATTTCTTTGTCTTTTGGAAAAAGCACCTTTGGAACAACCATGACCTGGATGACTGAGAATCTCCATAGACCAATGATGGCGAACCTTTTAGAGACTGAGTGCCCAAACTGCAACCCAAAACCCACTTATTTATCGCCGGGTGCCAGGTGGGCGTGGCCCACTGGGTAGGCGTGGCTGTGGTGGTCATGGCAGACTGGGTGGGTGTGGCCAAGGTGGGCGTGGTCACCTTGATGTTGCTTGTAGGGAGGGACGCCTGTGGGGACTGGGCAGGGTTGGGGGAGATCCAGGGGGTCTCTGGCAGGTGGGGCGGTGGGCAGGAGGCTCGTCCTGCAGGGTAAGGCGAGGCAGGGCGGGGGTGCCATTGTCACAGGGCAAGGCGAGGCAGGGGCCGGGGTGACTGCTGCCTAACACCATCGGCCCCCACACACAGGCCAGCGAGCGCATGGGCGCTGACGGCGTCCATCAGCAGTGCACTCTGGGGCTCCGCAGCCCGCCGCCAGCAGTTCAGAGAAGCCGCCTCTGAGCTGGACGGCTGGCTGATAGCTGAGGAGGAGATGCAGTGGGTCGTGCCCGGGAAAAGGAGACCATGGGAGGCCAGGAGGGATGGGATGGGGGGGGAGGGAAACCAACCATGCTGGGATGCATCTGGCCACATGGGACCTCAGCGAGTTAGCGGGCGGCTGGTTGAAGAGGGACGCGTGCCATAGGTTCGCCACCACTGCCATAGACGATTCATATCCTAGTTTTTTGTAAAAGGAGCTCAAGGCAGATTACATGTGTGTGTGTGTGTGTCTGTCTGTCTGTGTCTGTCTGTTTTATCCCAACAGTTTTGTGAGGTAGGCTGTGCTGAATGTGTGACTTTAACCTGTACTTGAGAAGGATTTGAACCCTGCCATCTTTCTTACTACACCTGATTGGCTGAGAAGGAGGGACTGTCCCAAAGTCCGCCAATGAACGTCTGTGGTTGGAGGAGGGACTTCAACCTGGATCTCCTCTTTTCTGCCATAGTGAAGCACCTTCCCCACTGGATCCAGCTGACGCTTGC